CGGGTCCGAAACTCGCAGGAAGAGCGTGTCGAGGTTCGGGAAGAAGGGAATGATGCCGGCGGCCACGCCCGGAGATGGGCAATACAGGTGGAAATGACGAACCGAGGGCATTCCGACGTCCCGGGGCAGTTCGGAAGTGTCCCACTGTTTGCCCTCTATCGCAAGCTTGAGAGTGTGGACAGATGAGAGGGATGTGAGTGCGGAATGCACGCGGTGAACGCAGGCCTTGGCTATAAGCGCATCCAGTCGTGGGATTGGCAGCCGGAACGACAAAGAGACTTTGGCGAGCTTGGGACTCGCAAGGAACCGAGATAGGAACGAGGTCGCAGACACGCCAAGGCTCGTGAGCGAGATGTCCTCGAGGGCGGGGATTTGGCCAACTGCATCGGAGAACTTTTCGAGCCAATCGTACGAGAACTGCCTCACGTCGGTGTCGAGGCTGAGGACATTGGGGGCGTGCTCGAGAATCTGGATGAGGGACATCACCATATGCTTGACCTGGTCTCCGTTGTTGGGCGAGAAAGATATGTGCCGGAGAGTGTTGGCGCGGAGGGAATATGACATGGGACCGCGTCCTAGCATGTACCGAAGGAGATCTGCGGCAATATGCTCGGCGGGGAGGATGGCTCTCGGCGAGATGGTGATCCGGGTGTGTACATGGGATATGGCGGCGCGGTAAGCGGCTTTGCAGGCGCAGGACAGGGCGAGGGCGTGCTTGGGATCGAGAAAGGAGGCGATGGCGTGCAAAACGTCCTCATTGAGGGACACGGTGCCTTGTGACGGTGGAAAAGACACCGGGGCCGAGCTTCCGGGCGAACTGTAGAGGGAGTGGGGGATCGACATGGGGAACGGTGTTGGGTGAAAGAGGCTTGTGGTGGCGGGTAGACAGAGGGTGGACTGTGTGGGCGGGCACAAAACCGCCCACATTTAAAGCGTCTCGAATGATGGGGGGCAGGCTGCAGCACAAAACAACTCCATTCTAGAGAAGCCGATGACAAGGCCAGTGCGTAGGCGGAACAACAAGACCCTCACCGAGACAATACTACGCCCCCCAGCCTTCTTCTTTCCATTCATACAGCTCTGGGACGTGAGATAACCCGCATGCAAGCAGGGAGGGGGAGGATGCGCAGCCTGGACGAGGAGGATCATCGAGTGGCGGTCAAGACGAGACTGGGGAGCGTTTGGCGCCCATCTGAGCACCATCTGTGGACAGATCTTATCTTATCTCTCCCGCCATAGAGTCCCAACGACGTTCAAGTTCAGCTCTTGTTGGGTACTGCTGTCAGACGTACACATTTAAGATACAGATATTTTCCCGCACGTTGGCCACGATCCGCCCGAGTCCGTACACACGCACTGATTCCGTTCGAATCCTCCGGCTCCTCGTATGTATGGAACAGAGTCGGTCAGAATCGGTACGGTTCGATCCAGGGCGCCGGTGCTACAGCTCGCTACAGTCGTTCTCGCCAACAAAGCTGACCGCGACGTGCTCAACCAGAGTCCAGACGTCCAGAACTGGATCCTCCCCCAGAGAGGGGCCCTGTGCTCCATTGTACACATTCAAGGCTCATACCGGCAGCGCTCCAAATATATGTCTGAAGAGGTCGGATCAAGTCAGCGTCCAGAACAGGCTCCACATCCGATGTACTCACCGGCCAGGTCCGCGTCGCCATTTTCCACCAGCTTCTGCGCTTGCTCCCCGTACTCGCGCCAAATCTCCACCAACCTCCGCTCCGCCCCTGTCCCATCGACCCGCCACCAACGCGTGTTCCGTTCACCGGCGTGCTGCTTCCTCCACCCATCCAACTCTCGAAGCAACAGCTCCGAGTCCTTGGCGTCCTTGAACACTTCTGCGGGTTGCGCCGCCATCCCCTTGATGCCCAGAACGCGCATCTCCGTGAGCGCGGGAAGCAGGTTCGCGGGGAGCGCATCCAACGCTTCCACACGCTTCAGCTCTATGTAGGGCTCGAGCGAGCCACGCCTGCGGCGCCCGTCCGACGAGCCCACGGGGCGAGCGCTGGCATCGATGAACAGGCAGTGCAGCGGGAGCTGCGCCAGCGCCGCCGGCAGCGTTTCCCGCGAGACTCGCACCAGGGAGATGGGGTCTATGAGTTCCGCGTCAGACGGGCTCACTGCCAGGACCTCCCAGTCGTCCGCTCCGACGCTGCGCAGGGTGAGCGAACGCAGGCGCGTGAGCCTCCGCGCGGCCGCGATCCACATCCGGCCGTCGAGATCCGTGTCCGGGCTCTGGTAGCCCGCGTGCACTGGGAGGGTGAGCGCGCGGGGCTGGAGCGCCGCGAGGAGGCGCGCGAGGCGGCGCGACGTGTCGGCGTCGACGGCGGTGGCGCCGTCGCGGGTGAACTCCCAATCTCCACCGAGCTCGAGGCACGGGACGGGGCTCGCGCGGCGCTCGAGCAGCTCGACGAGGATATCCTGCAGCTGTTCGTCGTGGAGCAGGACGACGAGCCCGCCGAATCTCGTTCCGTGGCGGATGTCCACGGTGAAGCTGGAGACCTTGCCGGTGGGCCATCTCGGCCGGGTCTGATCCGTGTGGCCTTGCATGTGCTTTCTTTCGTGGCTTGGGGAGAGCTCGATCGTTTCGAGGTTAGGGCAGAGGTAGAGGATGTCCGTGGCGGCGATGGAGACCGCCTTAAGGGCGATATGCCGGATGGACGGGAGCGATGATGTCAGAATAGCATCAAGAGAGCCCAATTCCGGGGTGAAGTTATACAAGGTGAGGATGACGAGCTTGGGGAATGATTTGAGCGCCGATAGCAGAGGAGCGAAATCGTGATGGCAGACTACATCATACCCAAGACTGAGGTTGACGAGGTTAGGCGAGGGGATGGACTGGATCATCGGAAGTACGTCGTCGAGGAAGATTGGATAATAATCGAGTGCTCGTAGATCCTTCATTTGAGTGAGAGCGTGGATGATCGATGGGCATTCCGTCCAGCCTTTCTGAGTCGCGGCGGAAAGACTCAGCGTGCGGAGGCTCTTGATAGTCCTGAGGATCTCGCCCAAGGCCCTTATGTCTTCGTCTTTATTTGACATCAGGGAGATGCCGAGATCTCCCAAGTAGGCTGCGCAGGAAGAACCAGGCCGACAGATCGCCTCAGCCAGCCGAGATACCTTGTGTTGTTCCAAGTGGGATATCTCCACACTACAATTTGGACAGGAGAGCGCGTACATGAACTTGCAGGTACGAGCGAGTTGTACTGCATCGTGGCCTGGAAGATAGGAGAGGATGGCAAGGAGGATGTCTTCGTTCAGCCGATGGATGATGGAAGTAGACATCGTGGCCACTGGAAGTTCAAATGAATCAGGGACCAATTCGCGAACACAAGGTACCGTACTGAGACGCACCGGTACGTATTCTCGCCCAGCAGATACGGCAGATACGGGACTGGGAGGCGCGCTTAGTTCAGGTTTACTTAGTCGAAGGAAGAAGGAAAGAGGGGCTTATAGGAGCCCGTGGCTTCATACTGTCTGGGAGAGGGGCTCCGTCGCGGCGCGTAGGCTCGCCCGGGCCACCCGCTCGCGCGCGCTAGGGTCTACCACGGACACGTCGGAGCCCGGACGGCGCATGGATGGTTACGGTGGCATTAGATTCTGGTGACGTCGGAGCACAGTGGGAAGAGGAGGAGATGGTGTGAAGAATCGAGCAGTGGACGAAGAGAGCCGTAGAGGCGAAAGGACGCCGGATGACGGACAGGGTGTCGGATAGGACGACGATGGTGGATAGCTAGATGATAGAATGAATTTTGACCTCAGATGATACGGCGGCATAGTACTGTACAATGCGTGGGAACGTAGTATACATGACTAAGCATACTGGTCGTGCCTCGGATGAGGGCGTACACCGGAACACTAGAAACCAACAGATATCATGGGTTGACGGTCACGTAGCGTTAGCTCGAGGTATGCACCTCGCGGATGTCTGGACCGCCATTGATTCAACACGCGTAAAAGTGTTTAAATATACACACCGTGTCATCTGCAATCTTTCTACACTGCGAAAGATGCCGGAAAGATCATGTGCATCCCATATATCACGCGCTGTCCATACAACCTCTGAATGCTGAATAGACGTGTGCATTCATAATCGATCCACCAGTTATTGCACGCCCGTGCGGATCGTCTGTACCCGTCATATTGCACGCCGACACATTTCCTAAATGCCTGCGGACAGGACAGGTGATGAACCACTAATTATGCGTTGATACCTCTCAGACAGATTACCTGACAGTCTCCCATCGCCCGTGGGTACATGGTCTTTCCTCAGTGGCCAGACTGGACACGCCATTCAACCAGAGGGTGATGGACCATGGATTACACATCAATGGTCGGCAGCCGGATTGTCTGACCATCTCCCATCACCTGCGTGCACATGGTCTTTCCTTAGTGGCCAGGCCGGACGCATCATCCAACCAGACTTTACAGATGTCTCAGCATATATTTATGCACTGTGGCTGGGCCTTCTATCCAGCAACAAATGGGGGTGTGATTGGTTTTCCATCGCCGATCGGCGGCTCACGCATATCAATGACATCACACAATTTACAGGCCACCCGAATTTGAATTTCGGCACCGTCCACTGCTCGACGATATCTAAACCCGCTCTAAAGCTATACCAACCTCCTGCCAATATCGTACTGCACTGCAGCTAGCATAAGATGGTTTAAAACCAGCAACGAAGGGAGATTCATAATGAAGCTCACCGATGGCACTCGCGTCTCATTGGCACAGATATCAGGTACTCAACGCCGCGCGCTCTGGGTCCCTGGTCTAGGCAGCATGTTTAACAGGGAGTAAGGCTTCCGGCTGGTGTTGTTCCTGCTGTTCGGACGCGTCCAGGTTCCAGGTCTGTGCGGGAAAGGGTCCTGGGAAAGGCGTATATAAGGTCGTGAGCAGACAACAGGGCTGCTCACGACCTTGCCTCATCCTCCATCAGTACACACCCGGCGCTCATCTGCTTGCGACTCGCTCACCTTGTTTCTATGTCCCAGCCCACACCTCCGGGGGCTGGCGTCGATCCAGGAGGGGCCCTGCGAGATGCATTTGATATGCTCGAGCAGTCAACATCCCAGACTGGGCCTCCAGTGAGTACGGTCGCCTGCGTGCTCAGTTTCAACGGGCTTACCTGACTTGCATGGAGATCACGACAGCGACGCCGCACTCGCTCCAACCAGAGCACATGTTCGCGTTCTCTGGTGGGGCAGCGTCGCCCGCTGCACGTCCAGGTATGCCTTCGGCTTCTTACGGCCGGGACTCGATGGGCCCTCAGTTGCAAGAGGCCGATGGTGGGTCCTGGGGATATGGCCCCCGAGGTATGCAGGTGAGCTACGTATTCATTTATATGAGCAAGACCACAAACTCACACAGGCCACCCTGAGTAGACGTCGTTCATCCCGAACGACTTCGACTTGAGCAATCTCTTGCCTTCTCGTCCGCTTGACGGGCTGCACGATGTTTATGGCCGGACTCTGGAGGTATGTGGATCAGCGTGCTCAGTAGTGCGGTGATTGTCAATGCTCACGGGCGGGCTAGGAGGTCGAGCAGTCGTGCAAAGCATCAATGGAAACTATGGCCATCAACACGACAAAGCGTGCAATTGTTCCCTTGCATCAGACTGTTGAACGGATGGTCAGAGTCGTTCAGGACCAGAATTCACGCTTGGAGAACTTGGCGAACCGGCTTACCTCTCTCGCCACGCTGCAAGCAGAGACCACAGAGGTTGTCAAGGGCTTGACGGCCTTGAGGGCGCCTTCGGGGTGCGCTACACCCCAGCTGGATCGTGCGCGTCGTATTCCTTCTCTAGAGGTGCTGCGTCTCATCAGCTCAGAGCGCCAGTGAGCTAACATCACCTACAGGAGGCGATCCATACAACCTCATTTCGCCTGATGGGCATATCCCAGGCTGCAAAGGTCAAACTCGACCCTGACGACGAGAGGCCGGCGACGTACCCCCTTCCCGAGCCATTGCCTCCTGGGAGTATGCCTCGTTTCGCTCCCGATGGCCAGACATGACTGTGGAACCCGGTGTGGACCGCAGGCGTTCAACACCAAGTAAACCATGGGTTCATCTCGGCGGTTGCAGAGACTGTTTTTCAAAACCGGAGTGAGTTAATAAGCATGCTTACATTTATGGCATCGAATCTCACCATCTCCACACCAGATACTGAGTTCAGCATCCCAGATGATATCAGCATGGACAGGATTGTCAAAGCGTCAAAGGGCTACTTCGTCAACTTGGTGAGGGGCTACAAGGAGCACCATACTCCTGAGGGCATTGAGAAGGGTACTAAGAGGAGAAAGAGGTCTCGTCGTCACGTTCGCCCACCGGAGGTGAGTCAATATTACGAGTTATATGCCGTGCGGATGCTCACCTCCAACTTAACAGAAAGCGAATGCCCGTCGGTGCTGCATCCGGCCCTTCCGCAGCAAGCATGGGCGGGAGCAGACGCGTGGCGTCGCAAAGCTCATCTGGAGCGACTGGCAGAGTGGGGAGGTGACTGCTGGTTCGGAGAGCGAAGGTTCAGACTCCAATGACGACGAGGTTGCTCTCGCTGCACGTGAGGCTCGGCGGGCTGCCGCAGCGGATTTGCGCGAGAAGGGCGCTTTGTACGTGGTTGAGGTCGGATGGCTGTCAGATAAGGTATGCAGGTTAGCCTCATTTTGGGGCTTCAACATGCTGACACAACATACCAGCTTCGTGCTCTTTACGCATCACTTGATGCTGTTGGCCCCGCCAAGGAAGGGGTAGACTACGGCGTCCTAAGCGACACTGACGAGGAAAACATGGGGGGTGATGAGCTTGGCAACGGAGATGAGAGTGAAGACAACCGTGACGAGCCGGTCACCTTAGGCAAGCGCAGGGCGGCCCAAGCCGCAGTGCAGCTGCCTAGGCGCTCCACCGGGAAGTTGACCGGCTCAAGCAAGACGATGCCTCGTCGTGAGCGCGTCCGCGGCATTAAAGTCAGCAACGATCTTCCCCGGATGGCAAAGGCCTCGCAAAAGTACCTGTATAAGGAATGTATGGGTGAGAAGTGGGCTATGGAGTCGCCTGGTGATCGGATGAACCTTTATGTTGGGTTAGCACTTCGTCCAGCTGAGTTCACCGTGTTTGACATGGTTGTTCAGGAGGATGGCCGCTTGGCTGCCCCACCTCAGTCAGACATGTAGAAATACAAAGTACTAGCAGTCGTAAATAAGCAGCTCGTCAAATGTTCCAGGTCGAACTGCACTTACTTGATTGTGATTGTAATGATGCGTGTGTTTGGAGGCGCCTCAACCGATTTTTCCGATCAGTGAATAGTCGCACAGACGAGCTTCGCAGTGAGGAGCTACGGCTAGAAACGGGTGTGCACACTCACAGTGAGCACTGAGAACAGGCGAGTTGGGATGAACTCACCCTCAATGATGAGTGAGACCTAGGAGTCATCACCACGGGTGATGGCCACCCGTGCGGGCAGGCATGTTCCTGCGCGCACGGAACACGACCTCGCACCCCGCACGTGATTCATTGCAGTCGCCCGCACCGAGATCGTGGAAGCTGAAGCCGTAGATGACGGCGACGAAGGACGGGAGCGAGAGCGCGCTGAGGATGATCTCGTACGTGACCATGTCGATGAGGACCTCTGCAGGAGGGAAAGTGAGCGGGTTGTGAGACGCTGGGCGTGCGAGGAGGACGGACCGGATGCCACAGCGGGCGTTGTGGGGCAGGTGGCGCATGATGCCATTCTCGGTTGTGGCCTGCATGCCGAGCCCCATCGCGGGTGGTCCTGCGCTGATGATGACTACCCACTGCACCTCGACGGAGCTGAGAGGGAAGATGGAGAGGACCTTCTGGTCCTTGAACACGAGGCCGACCAGTAGCACGATCGCCTGGGCAACGTTACTCGCAAGGGGGCGCAGGGTGAACACCTTGATGTTGTCGTATGAACGGTGGCCCTCGCGAATGGCGGCGATGATGGAGGCGAAGTTGTCTGACAGGACGATGTCTGTGCGCCGTGAGAAATGGGCACAAGGGATAAATAAAAAGACACTTACCCCGACTCATTCTTCGTGACATCCGACCCACTTCCCATCACAATGCCAACGTCTGCATGTGACAGACTTGGATTGTCGTTGACACCGTCGCCGGCTGGATGACTGTCAGCACACGAGCCAGTGGGGGAGGATAGGGAAGCTGGTCGCGGTATCAAGGTGCGTGCGCCGCGAGCTCCTTGAGTGGCTTGTCCTTTGCATCCATGGCCTCGATGTCTGCCTGCCGAACAGCGAAAAGGCATCAGATAAGGCTCAAAGAGGGAAATGGAGGGAGGGAGAGGAGATCGGAGATGCGCAAACTCAAGACAAGGGGCGGCATGAGCACTCACATCCAGCCGTGCGTCGAGCTCCCGCACGATCTCCTCGTACTGCTCGAACGTGCCGTCCCAGGTGCGCTCATCCTTCTCCACGCGCACGCGGCCCATTCGCTCCCTCAGGTCCGTGTGCTTCGCAGGCGCCGTCCGGAGGAGCTTGAAGAGGTGGCCCTTGACCGCGCTCGGCGCCGTGGGCGTCTTCTGCTCGCGGACGATCGTGAGGTACTCTGAGGCCAGGATGGTGCTTCGCGGGTGAAGGCCGGTGAGGTATTTCGCTATGGGGGAGGCGGTCGTGGAGGTAGAGGCAGAGGGTTGGGCGGGAGTGAAGATGGCAGGGTTGTAGAGGTTACCCTCGGCGGACATGACAGCGTCCGCGCCCGTCGCAGCGAGGCACCTCTCGACGTCCCCGTGGAAGAGCATGTTCCCGTTCGCGACGACGGGCACGGAGACCGCGTTCTTCACCGCCCGGTTCTTCTCCCAGTCCGCGACTCCCTGTCATGCCGAAGATGAGAAAAACCTACGCAACGAAGGCGCAAACTTACAGATCTGTGGCCCCGTTGTTCGCGCGTGCGGCCGTGACATCTGAGCATTTGCGCCCCGGCGTGCTCGAGCATCTTCGCGTATGCGACCGTCTTCTCGACCGTTGGGAACGCCCGGAACTTGGCAGTGACGCGGATGGACAGGTTCTTGTGCCGATGCCGACTGGCCTCCGGAGTTGAGGGGTGTGTCTGCCACGAGAGAAGGGAGAGACTCACTGAGGTCGTGAATGAGATCCCACTCATCCTGCAAGAACGACCCATAATGACCCTTCTTCGTGATGTCTTGCGGGCACCCAAGGTTGATGTCGACCGCATCGCAGTACGTCTCGAGTGCCTTGGCAGAGGTGAGGAGGTGGTCAGGGTTGTTGGCGCAGAACTGGATGATGAGCGGCCTGTCTTCAGGTCCGCCTTCTTCTCCATGCGCGGTGTTAAACCGGACTTCGCGGTAGTGTTTGTGCTTTGCGTCAGCGAACATCTGCATAGGGTCAGTGTTCATCGCACATACAAGTAGCCGCAAGGAGGATACAGGAACCGGTAAAGCGTACCTTGGCGTTGATCATGGGCGTGTATACCAACTATCGCGATCACCTTCAGCACGCGTCGTAAGCGCGGCACGCTGAGAGACGCACCCGGGCGCCATACCTCCTAGAGAGCTTCCGCCAAGCCTGCGGGAAAAGTCAGTGAGATACAGCACAGCGCACGAAGAGAAGGAGGCAGAGGGGAAATGTACGAGATACTTGCGGTTGTCCTACGGGACGAGTAGTGGGTTACGGACATTGACGGAGGTGATGCGAAGGTGCGGAGCAGTTAATAGAACGCACTGCGTTTCGAGCGACCACCAAGCAGCACGTGTTCTGGCTACACGCGGGAGTCAACGTCAGCGATACAAGCTCATATCTGAAATGCTGGTGGACGCTGCACGTACATGGCGAGTAATTCGAGTTCAGTGCATGTCCCGGCTTTCCTCGGCAAAGTCGGTCAGCCGGGACACCGCCATTTGCCGAAGGTACCGTTCACCCGGGCTCGGCCGGACTCACCCGGTTACCTCGGCAGAGTCTTCCGGCCGGACTCACCCGGTTTTCCCAGGGGAGTCGTTCGGCCGGACTCCCCTGGTTTTCCCAGAGGAGCCGCCCGGCCGGACCCGGTCGAAGTGAGTACAGTGTAGCATGCATAAAACATGTTGTGTGGTGTATGTAAGGCTTCATATGATCAATTAGGCCTCAAGGTTGGATAGTTATGGAGTATACACCACACAGGTAGTGCTGTGGTGTGTTATAGCACAGAACTTGGTCACCCAGGTCTGGCTGAACCTACCCAAGCATGCAGCAGCCACCTTCAAAACCTCTGATACTTGGAGGTGGGTGTCCAAGGACAGACATACCAGGGAGCACCAGGGTCCAATGCAAGCAGCAGACCACCAGGCAGTGGTGCAGGCCCGACACTGCACCAGGTGGCAATGGACGGATGGCCGGCGATAAACAGATGGCCGGTATTAGATGGATGGCCGGCACTGGGCAGTAGATGGATGACCGCCGGCAAACAGACGGCCGGTGATGCAGCTTGAAGCGGACCGACTGTCGGCAGTGGAAGCCTCGGACCGGCCGCAGCGGAGCGCCGCCTGACGGCGGTCGTGCATAGCGCCGCCTGATGGCGGTCGTGCATACATCAGCAAAAGGTGTTTTTAACGGTAGCGCCCGATAGCGCCCGACTCTGCCAGATCGGGACAGGTCGTCTTTTGTCTGCACGACAAATGATGGTAGCAGAACGGTAGCAGCTGATATTCATTCGTCTTCGATATGACGTTTGATCATATTTCGTGGCCGCATACAGGTTATGATGGATCGACTACAGGCACTAGTAGCTTAGACGGAAAGCTATAGTCGATGATATGATAATGATAGTAGACGATCATGCACCCCTCAAAGGGTGATTCATGGCGCGCTGGGTGCATGGTAAGTTTTTAATGAGCTATACGGTCGGTTCGCGAGTGCGCGAACAGTGCGCGCGGCAGAGAACGCGGTGCGCGCGAGGATACACGGGTCAGCGCGGGCGCCTGTACCGCTTATGGACGGAGTCCGGCGACGGCGAGCCTCACCACCTCCCCCTCTCCCATCCGGGGCCTCTGTTCCCCAAATTTGTTCTTGACATCTCTTCTGATTTCTCGCTGCTCTGCGGAACCTGGTCTTTCCATGTGTATCCTCTTCATCAGAATGTTTGCTTCTCTGGGACACAACTGGACCACCACCGTTACGAGTGAATCACCCGCCTCCGCCTCTTCCTTCTCCTATTCGACGCGCTCGTAGTCACGCGCGGCACGGCAAACGCGCGGCGCACGCCGCACGGGGCACGGGCGAGGGCAGTGAGCAGGTTGCGAATACAAAATTTAAGTCAAGATATATACATCGTTGGGAAGACGTACTACAGTCGGTGTTAGCAATGACGAAGAGTCTGTGCAGTGTGGTCTGGCAAAATTTGCTTACGATTATTTCTTGCTAATTGTCGTGGTTCGATGCGGCGGCGCCGCAGTGGCGTCCCGCTTTGGCCTCCGTTCGGTCGCCAGACTGCATGGGCGCGTGTGCGCGCGTGCGCGCCTACTGGACTTCCCCTGCGACCGCCATCATCCCCTCAGCGCGATGTGCCACTCACGCTCGCGGGTGATCCATCAAGACATGGTGAGTTCCTCCCTTTGCTCTCAGCATCTCGTTCACAGTACCCACATTTCTATCGACATTGATGTGGCTTTTAACAACTTCTCGCAGACCATCATTGTCTCGTCGCCCTCATGGCCGCCACTCTGCGCTCGGTACGTTCAACTTCCCACCTCCACAAAGCCAACATGACCACCCACTCCCTGCATTTCCGCCTCCTCGTACCCACCACAAGTCACGATGTTTTTTCCTCAACCGCGCGAGCTTGGTGCGCCTCCAGAACGTAATCAAGCTTGAAGTCATGGTGCTTAAGCGCTTATGGTCACGGCGCGCGGTGTGAAATTCCTCTTTTACCTCTTCTCCTCCCCTTCGCGCTGATTCCTCAGCCTCGCCGGCAGTGTCAACGTTGCTCCGCGTGCTCTTACATCAGTCCCGAGTGACTCCGCTTGTAATCGGGGATGTAAGGAAATGTGGTGGAGGTGTTGCGGCAGCCACTCAGTGGGAGTGTGGTGTACAGGTACGTCTTCAGAACTTCCACACAGGCTGGCAGGTGAGCAGGATGCCAGGACACTACACGGTTGAGCCCACGCTTTGTGGGCTTCTGCTGCTAGACCTGCGGGTGACCACTTCCGGCAGGTGTTGCTGAATGCGCGCGAAACGTCCACCCCGAGCACCAGCCCGTTTTGTAGGAGCAGCGGCTCGCCGGGTTGCGTTCCTTTCCCTTTTCCACCGAGATCAGTTCCGCACTGACCGCTCGTCCATAGCTGCCTTGACCAACTTGCAGTACTCACACATCGCTTGAGCGACCTCCCCACGCAAGCAGCGGTCTCGGTCCAAACCTCAAGCTCCTGCTCGTCGCACACCGCGACATGTCCATCTCGCCCGATCACGTCGTGCTCGTTGAGGACGAGGGCATCGCCCTCTGTGGGCTCTTCATCATCGACCCATAAGGGGATCCTCAGGTGCGTTCGGTGGGGTCGGACAACTGAACCACCGCAATTGACAACGTCCCCGTCGGCCACTCGGTTGAGGAGACGATCCGGTTCGTAAACGTGTCCCAGTTCACCCAGGTGAGTTTCGCTTCCTCCGCGTTCTCCGTGGCCACACCCGCTGACTACTCCCTCCTCGCTTTCCCCTTCCCCGTTCACCACGCTTCCGAACGACGAGCACGTTGAGGAGTTCCCCACAAACTGGAGTGAGGAGGAAAGACGATGAATACACGGCCATCCATGCTCACCATCACGACCATCTCCCCGCGCCTCCCCACGCGCCTCGCTGCGCTCGACCGGCCTTTCCGTGCCCTCCACACTGACTGCTCTATCACTGGGTGAGCACTATATATATTCGCATTTTCTACAGGCCGTTACTGACCACTCTCATGGCACTCATGGCAGGGACGACCCTATGCATCACAGGAGTACTATGTCGATGTGCTCACTGCTGGTTGAGAGGCCTCAAGGACGCGCCCACATTGCTGACTGTGTAAGTCGTTTATTCTGCTCTTATGTCCATTGTATAGGATACCTGCTGTTTCGTATCTACCCAAATGGATTACTATTGCACAATTGGATTGTACTCTCTGCGTAATATGTGATCCCCAGTGTGCGATGGAAGACCATAATGTTCTGCATGATGCTGTCATCCCCTCCGCTAAATCTGACGTTTTATCATGTAGCGCTATCATCTCATGCGCCGCAGATGACCGGTATATGGTCGCGCGCGCACTCAGAAATGATAGCCCTGTCCGCGAGAATCGATCATCATTTGATAGCGGAAGAAGCAGACGATAATACACTACGAGTTACTGCATTACTTGGGTGCTCAGCTACCGTCTATTGTCTTCGCTATCACTAACTATCGTACGCTATGAATGCCCCTGTGCACTATCAGACGCTACCGTTTCCGCGCCCACTTTGCTGATGTAGCGCCGCCGCATCGGCGGCTGTGCACTGCCGCCCGCGCTCCGAGTGATCTGAAGTGGCCGCCCCCCCGACATGTTTGTATTCGTTCTCCGCCGTTATTGGTCTTAATGACATGCGAAAGAGCGCGTTATGTGCGTATTAACAGCGCGAATCAAAAGTGCCCTGGAACGTTACGTTCTGTGCAGGCGCCGGCCCGTGACGTTATATGTAAAAATGGGGATGAGATGGAGTATGCTGACATTAACTTACATCGGACGGACGGATGAATACCCAGATAGTCTCTGCATAATCTGTGGATAACGAAAGAAGCAAGAAGCGTGAAGAAATAGCAGAAACTCGCGAAGATATACTGTTTTGACCAAAAGTGTGGTTCACATGTAGGTGGGCTTCCATATGTTGGGATGGAGGATAGATATTGCATATCTGTAAGCTTTAACATTGATTGTAGTGTACACAGACCAGGAATCTATGTTTGTGCGCAGACAGATTAAGAATTGATGGTACAGTGCGATATGTCATTTTTCAATGACATACACAATATCGATACAACATGCGAGCTCATCACAGCACACAATAGCAGAACAGACTCGCCTTTACAGCAGCTTTCCAACGCAAAAAGAATCTCGAAATTCCGACAGGAACCCATGGAGATGTCGCACATGTGCTCAGAATGTGGCTTCGTGTGCTTGGTGATTTGGTACGACTTGACCACTGCATGCATTCTGAGCACATGTGCGACATCTCCATGGGTTCCTGTCGGAATTTCGAGATTCTTTTTGCGTTGGAAAGCTGCTGTAAAGGCGAGTCTGTTCTGCTATTGTGTGCTGTGATGAGCTCGCATGTTGTATCGATATTGTGTATGTCATTGAAAAATGACATATCGCACTGTACCATCAATTCTTAATCTGTCTGCGCACAAACATAGATTCCTGGTCTGTGTACACTACAATCAATGTTAAAGCTTACAGATATGCAATATCTATCCTCCATCCCAACATATGGAAGCCCACCTACATGTGAACCACACTTTTGGTCAAAACAGTATATCTTCGCGAGTTTCTGCTATTTCTTCACGCTTCTTGCTTCTTTCGTTATCCACAGATTATGCAGAGACTATCTGGGTATTCATCCGTCCGTCCGATGTAAGTTAATGTCAGCATACTCCATCTCATCCCCATTTTTACATATAACGTCACGGGCCGGCGCCTGCACAGAACGTAACGTTCCAGGGCACTTTTGATTCGCGCTGTTAATACGCACATAACGCGCTCTTTCGCATGTCATTAAGACCAATAACGGCGGAGAACGAATACAAACATGTCGGGGGGGCGGCCACTTCAGATCACTCGGAGCGCGGGCGGCAGTGCACAGCCGCCGATGCGGCGGCGCTATGCACGACCGCCATCAGGCGGCGCTATGCACGACCGCCGTCAGGCGGCGCTCCGCTGCGGCCGGTCCGAGGCTTCCACTGCCGACAGTCGGTCCGCTTCAAGCTGCATCACCGGCCGTCTGTTTGCCGACGGTCATCTATCACTACCGGCCATCTGTGTACTGCCACCCAGTGTGTCGGTCCCGCACCACAGCCCGGTGGTCCACTACTTGCATTGGACCCTGCTCACTGTGCCAGACCTTATGTCAGATAGTAAGGTCACAAAGGTGGCTGCTGTGTCCTTGGGTAGGCTCAGCTGGCACCTAGTGACTGGGTTCTGTGCTGTAACACACCCTAGCCCTACCTGTGCAGCGTGCGGTATATACCCCATTAGCTGCCCTTCATAATGCCAAGCTACCTAATTGAAGCTTTACATACACCCTACAACATATTTACACATACTATACACCATACTTACTTCAACCGGGTCCGGCCGAACGGCTCCCCCAGGAAAACCAGGTGAGTCCGGCCGGACGACTCTGCCGAGGTAACCGGGTGAGTCCGGCCGAGCCCGGGTGAACGGTACCTTCGGCAAATGGCGGTGTCCCGGCTGACCGACTTGATCGGGGTAACTCCGGGACCTTAAGTGTCGAGTTTGCGAGTTTTGAGAGTTGGTTGCAGGTGGTGGGAGAAGGGATGCCTGGGAGGAGGATGGACTCGGGCGATTTCCCGTGCAATAGACGCCTCCCGTGGGGCCGTGCCGCCTATCCCGTGCAATAGACGCCTCCCGTGGGGCCGTGCCGCCTATCCCGTGCACGATAGCCCACCTGTGCCAAAGCAATCTCTTCGTTCTCCTTCATCCATCCTCTGCTCCATTGCCCTCTGCCAGATCTATGGGCATGATAGCCCACCTGTGCCGAAGCGATCTCTTCGTTTTCCCTCATCTATCCTCTGCTCCATCAACCTCTCCTAGACTCAAAATGCCCATCACTCTCCGGTCTGCCAGCCCGCCCTTCTGTTGCTCCCCCGACGATCTCTTCACCCGCAATGCCCAAGCAACTGCTCGTGCCCACAGTGCGCAGCCACTTTCGTCGAACTGAGGCCAACGCCACCTCTCGCCGTGAACGCATGGCCAAACGAGCAACCTACCTGGTGCCGATTGACGACTCGGGCAGGGCTCCGTCGTCAGCCTCCGAAATCTTTGTTCGGATGGTCCTACAGGGCAAGATACCACCTGTGGATCACGAGGAGAGGCTTCGTATTCAAATGGAGCTTGAAATCCGTGTGGTCACCATTCCTGTGAGTCCTTCTCTCTCCGTGATTCTCAGTAATTGACCATGTGTAAGGGGAAGGAAGATGGGATCTTTATCAACCCCAACGAATACATTTTGACGATGGATGTGTGGTCCCCGTTCCCAATGCCTAATCGCCCTCTGGTCACTGCAAAACTCGACCGGTTTTTGGGCTGGTCGAGAGACCAGGTGGGTGCTCCGCTCTGGGCAGCGGACATCAAGCCTATGAGAAACGGCCCCATAACTCGTTCTTGCCCGGCCTCATGGTTGCGCAAATTTGCCTCCGACACACTGGAGCAAGATCTCTCCCTATACGCCCGCGAGGGCTGGTTGTCTACCCTTACTGCCGTGGATGATTTTACGGTAAACCCTCTCGTCTTCATCTAGTCTCCTCACGACGTCTGACACACAGTTCCTAGTTCCACTTTCGGATCTTGCAAAACGCCAAGGACGACGGATATCCTCACCTACGTCCACAACCGCGCCCACGTCATCGCAAGATACTACGTGCGGACCCTGAGGTGGAGAAGCTGGTGAATGGAGTGTTGGCGATGCAGATGGATGATGGTGTATCTATTGATGGGCTTTGTTCGCGCATGAAGGCGGCTGAGGTGTAATGGGATATATGATATTATTCAGCCTTTGGATCGTCCACAACCTGCGTGCTGTTTCACTGGTGCTTGAACAAATTTATCTCTCCGATATTCAGTGTTTCCGGCGCCGTGCGATGAGAGGAAAGGCGCCGGCGTGGCCTTAGGCGAACTTTCGTCGGGGCTCGGTCGTCTGCGCGCTTGGTCACCCCTCTCTTCATGCGGCCATCGACGGCCTGCCTTCTCAAGTCCTGATCACTGGCATCTGGGCATCATCTGGAAAATGGTTAGTTCAGTGAGCTGTTCACATTTAAGGTGTTAGATTCTGAGGTTTTTTACCCTCAGTTCAAAAAGATCCAACCCAAAGTACCTTGCCCTTGTGCTCAATGCAACGGGGCGTGGGTACGAAGAACTACGCGCAACTCTCATTTGAAGCAGAGTCGACGCCCTAATACAGGCTCATTCATCAAAGCCATTCCAAAGGATGAGCTCTCCGTATGCAAGGAGGCTCAAGCGGGAGGGAAGCAGCGCGTTGGGAGTGGGTGCTCGGGTTCGACTGTAAGTGATCTTGGTGCTTGTTTGTTCGCTTTCAAGTTGCCTCTCAACCTCAACGGGTCATTGGTGTAGGAGGTGGCCCCCAGGTTGACGTCTCCATCACTGGATGCGGCTCAGGCGCACAGCGAGGCTTCGCCTGACGCGGTACAAGCAGGCGCCATGCCGGAGAACGGCGAGTGGGAGGATGTGGAAATGGTCGACGCTGTGGTCGATGACGAGAACATAAGCACGGTGTGTCTGCTTTCCTATCATCTAACATACTCTCATCTGAACAAAACTTCATAAGGAACCTCTCACGGCAACTGATACAGACCGGCCAAACGGCTCTCGTGGCACGCCCCAAGGTCAGGTCATCTTTGCAACGTTAGGGCATGCCCTTAACGCACTCCATCCTTAGTTCCCGAACCCTGCTCCGATTTCCCTGAAGGCTTGCATCGCCTTCCTGCTTGGTCAACGCTGTCTATTATCCACCCCGCGGTGTTGATAGCAACCTTTTTGGCTGTGTGGCTGCATCTCGTTGCACATCTGCCGTTTAGGTTTGCCAATGCGGTTCTTTCGGCCGTTGCGTACATTCTTCATGCACTGGGTCGCGTCGACCTTATTCCCAGCCTCCCAGCATCGCTCGCCAACACTATCAAGTCGCTTGGCATCGAACCAAAATTCAATATTGCTCCCGTATGCCCTCAATGCCTCAAAGTGTTTTTGACCTCTAGCAACTCGCCCCTCAAACAGCACGCAAAATGTACCGCATGTGGCCACCACCTCTTTGTTCGCCACGGGCGACGAGCAAGTACCAAGACGCCACCAACCCCACAGCTTCAGTTTCCGTACGTCTCCCTCACACAACTACTTGCGACGGTTTTGGCCATTCCCGGCGTCGAAGAAGGGCTTGAGGCTTGGCATCGCATCCCAAGGACCCCCGGAGTGTTCAGAGACATCTTCGATGGAGGAGTGTGCCGCGATCTCCCTGGCCCAGATGGCAAGCCGTTCTTCCGTTTTGATCTCCAAGATGATCCAGACGGCGAGCTGCGAATAGGCGTTACTCTTGCATGCGACTGGTGCGTTTATCCATCTGTCATGGTCGTACTAGCTCCCTGACTCTTTGCAAAAGGTTCTCATATCTTCGAAGCCACTATTCGTCAACACATTCCTCATGCCCCATATCTCTGAGCATTGTCAATCTCCCTCCCAAGCTGCGGTGAGCCCTGATTAACATTCGGAGCTCGAGGGATCTTGAAACTTTGTACCAGGTTTCGTGCCGCATCTCTGTTGCTCTGGGGTATTCTACCCGGGCCTCGAGAGGCTAATGCGGACGAGGTGCAGCACTTTCTCAGCCTCCTCATCAGCGAGCTTCTCTCTCTATGGAAAGACGGTGTATGGCTCCCAACCCCCCGATGCCCACACGGCCGTTTGGTCAGGGTAATTCTTGTTGGCGTATTTTGTGACAAGCCCGCCGCTCACAAGATTGGCGGCTTTGGCTCTCACTCTCATACGTTTTTCTGCACACGTGATTGGATCACTAAGGATAAACGGGCCACACCAGAGTCGTTCCAAGATGGTGGTAAGTAAGCACTATAGAGCCTGCATGCCCTTTCTTTCTAACGATGACGACACATAGCATTTCAGCCAAGAAGTGATCACGAGCACCGCGAGATGATGGAAAGGTACCAGAGTTGCACATCAACTTCGGCCCGCGACAAGTTTGTCAAGCAATATGCCACGCGGTGGTCGGAGCTCGCAAAGCTTCCGTACTTTGACATGTGCCGTCAAATCGTCGTGGATCCCATGCACAATCTATTCCTAGGCAGGCCATCTCTGTCATCGTGGATATCTCACCGCTAACTGCTGTTCGTAGGCTTGGTAAAAAACCACTTCCACAACATATGGATCAAGCTTGGCGTGCTTCGCAAGAACAGGGAGCTTTTGCGGTTTCAATCAATGGTCTCTAATGTGTGTAAACCCCTCCCGTCGCTGTGGGGAAGTTGACTCACACGCACACGCAGCTACATCTTCCAACCCAGCTCGGGCGACTCCCTTCAGGTATAGGGGATGCGTCTGGCGGCTCGCTGAGTGCAGACCAATGGCGAACGTTAGCGACGGTGGTTGCCCCTCTCTTGGTTGGAATCAGCTTACCACTATTGCCGCTAACTGGTATGCTGATGCCAGTCACTACCAGATACCAGAGCTCTGGGCCACGTGCCCTCCAGATCCGGAGGGCACCAAGCTTGCCGAAAGGAAGCTGTGGCTCAAAGGCGAAGCCCAGCGGCTCAAGGGCATGAGCAAGCTCAAGCGTGCCAAAGCCAAGCGGCACGCAAGCCAATCCAAGTCTGCCCTACTAACCCGCGTTCAGGGCCAGGTTAGTCGCGCAGTATTTTCATTTAGACTGTGAAAACTTAAAAGGTCACCGTCTACTTCTACAGGCAGCTAGCCAAACTCCGAGCCGACAATCGTCACGAGAGAGGCGACCAACAGAGAAAGCGAAGGTAAGCACCCTAAAAATCAGCTCTGCCCATCGTTTACAGCGAAAACCCCAAATCACGGCAGGAGGCGGTTATTGAATCAGACGACGACGGTGCAATTGAAGTGGATGAAGAAGAGGAATGGGCGGAAGAGGAAGAGGAGGAGGGCCCTGTCAATACTGACACTCACATGAATCCGGCTGACGCCCCGAACTTCCTTATGCTCTGTGCCGCGATATCCTTCCTTCTGCTCCCAGGCGTCAACAGCACACAGCTCCTCACCGCGTCGCAGCTGATGCGACAGTACTGCACGCATCTGTTGGAGGTGAGCTTTGACTGCTAAAGCTAGCGATAAACACCTGCTTACCAACGTTTCCTAGATATACGGAGAGGAGGTCATCAAACCAAACCACCATTACGCCACTCACACGGCGGAGTTTGTGAGGGACTTTGGGCCGATGAAAGAGTTCTGGACTTTCCTTTTTGAGCGCATCAACAAGGTATTGAAGAGCTTCAAAACTTCAGGCCACGCTGGCGGGGAGCTTGAGTGCACGTTCTTCCGAGAGTTCCACCGGATGGTGAGGTTGAATCAGCTTGTAAGCCGGCCGGTTTCATGCGCCTCGGAGAGTCTAGCCCCGACTAATTGCACTGAACAGATGTCGCAAGTGGATGCCTCCGGTGTCGACATCAGGGTCAAGGCTACGTTTGATGCGATGGGCCTTGCTACCCAAGACCTCAGAGGCACGGTGCAGGGGTTGGCCAACGACCTGAAGAGCGCACATGAGGACGGTGAGTCCGACTCCCTGCTTCGCAACGCTTCCGGTGTTATATCGACTGACGAAACAACAGATGGCGTTCAACTAGAGCTGGGGGCTCGTTCTGTGCGCGAGAGCATGAGCGTAGAGCTCTACTACGCCGTCCTTGCACATATCTGACAGAGAAGCCCGGCTCAGATGTATCACTCTTACATCGAGGTAGCCCAACCGGGGTCCGTGTTTGTCCCTGATGTCGCCACCTTCTTCGAGCACGCCGTGGTTTCTGGCACGCGATATCATCCAGCGCGAAGGCATCCGCACTCTGCCAATAGCATCGTCATCATTCCCACCGATCGACAGCAGCCCTTCGGACGCTACTGGGTTGGGGAGCTGCAGGACATATTCCACTACCAGGCACCTCACATTCCGCCCTGTCTGCTCGCCCACGTTCGGTGGCTTCAGTGCTCCGATATCAACATCACCAACACACCATGGGGGCAGTTGTGAGTGCTCTCAGTGGACTTCGTTTTCGGCTTGCTGAGTTTAGGTGCCCTAGCGCAAACATTTTCGGCCTGCAGCTATTCGACGAGGGCGTGTACATCAACTCAGCACAGCCCGGCCCTCCTCCATTGATCCCCCTTCAAGACCTAGTCTCTTTAGCTGTTCGACACAGCACCGTTATCAAGGGCCAGAGGCACTACGTTACCGTACCTATTAAGCGGATGTAGCGGCATCGGTGTTATATGTATCTGGTCTCTCAGCTAGACGGCGGCGCTAGATGGGAGAGGCAAGCACATGCGTTGCGGCTGCAAGGGGCCCGTATCCTGTCTCCCCAACCTGCGGTCATCAGCAAAATTCGCGCGTGTGCGTAGCAGACTTGAAAGCCTCGACCGGCAGGGGCGAGCTTCGGTTGAACTGCGCGCGCCGCGCAATTCAGCCAAGTGCGCGCAATCCGAGTACCGTCGTGCGTAGGCGTCTATGGTAGGCGTCTATTGTACGCGTTGAGCGCGGGTCTGACGCCTCTGCGGTTTGGTGCTTGTCTTCTCCACCACCACCCTCCCGCCCTCAGCTATGCTTTTACCACCACCATTCTGCCTCGCTGCCCACAGCAGAAAATCCTCACGTGCAGCACACAAGCGCACCTTTATGGCAGCTGCTCGTCCCTGTACATGTGTACCAACTCGTCAGTGAGCTGTGTGCAATACTCGTGGCTCCGTCCAAAGGTGAGAAGTTAAACGTCCTCCTGTGCACTCCGTCCTCTTCTACTCCTCTACCATGGAGTCAAATATGTGCATGCCTGTGGCGATGCGACGCTTCCGGGTGTGTTGTCTGGAATCAGTGGAGTGTGCGGCCAACAGCATCCCCTCGGGGCAGCTCAAGCGGCGCTCCTCCGATTCCAGACGACATCACTTATTGTGTCGACTCTGGTATGCATGTGCAGAGGGTCTGCGTGTGACGGCGTTATTTTATTCCTCCGTACTTGATTCAGCAGTTCACTGACCTCTTTCACTCGCTCAGGTCACCTCGATCTCGATCGCGTTCATCCGACCTGCCTCATCATACCCGGCCTTGGAAGCTCGAGGGCGCGGGTGCGGCCCACAGCGAGGCTAGCCGGTGGATGGATTCTGGCCTTGCCGAATCCTCGCCACTGGCAAACTTGCACATCTCGCGGTGGGCGGCGGCGGGCCAGGGCAAGGACGAACATGAACACGAACACGAAGCTCTGTGCTGTGCGCCCCGTCTCCAAATCCAAGGACAGCGACGTGTACACCACCTCCCGTGCAGAACCTGACATGCTCAAGGACGTGCAGCAGATGCAGCCCTAGACCGAGTCCCTCAAGCATCGCTCCCAAACTGCAGCCTAAGGCGCGCTCAACGTTGCAGTCAACATCCCACTACGAGCCTCAGGAACACCAAACCGATGCAATGGGGATGTGGACATGATGGAGCCGATTGTATCCCAGGAGACGTCACAGATGGAGAAGAACGAGGTGGTGTGGGGCGACTCAACGGGGCATTGGAGGCCTTCGGCCAGCTATGGTAAGCGAGGCTCTCTTGCTTTTCAGCGTCACTTTCCACATCCTTACGCAAACCATGCAGATTGACCGATTGCATACCCTTGCCAACTCCGCCATCCAAACCACCCGCATCTCTGAAGCCGACGTCAACCGCCAGCATTGTACTCTCATCTCGCTCTCTCCCCTCCTCTCGCCCCGCCGGTGATGGAGCTATGTGCGCTCTCACCGCTCGACACCACGTGTCGTGCCATCGCGCAAGGTTCAGTGCACCATCCGTCGGAATCGCAAAATAGCCTCCACGGGCGTGCCACTGCCGACGCCACGACGCCACCTCTAGTATAACCCATGTACCACGATATCGAGCAAGCTCGCACCCCTGTCATTCATCAACAGGAGCGTCCACACAGCTCGACCCCACATTCCCGCTCTGACGCCTTTCTTCAACACTGTGCGCAACTCGCTCTTAAACCCTCTCCCCGTCGGCCACTACCTCACCATCGTGCATGACGAGCTCGATATCTGGCCGAAGGGAAACAGGCTCGTCGTCCAGGCGCGCCCACCTGGTAACCGCATCGCGATGAACCTCGTCATGCTCTCCGTCAAGTTCCGCGGTGGGTCGCTCAGCGGCTCGTGCACAGCACGTAGGTGCGCGAGGGGAAGTTATACGGGTGCGGCAGCAAGGGCGTCGACCACACGGTCCTCGGTCGTTTCCTGTTCTCATACATCCACCGCTCCTTCCACGCGCTCGCTCGCTAGTGTCAAGACGTGCCACACCCCAGATGTCAAGCCGCGTGTGGGCCCAGGACCCGCCCTCGTCATTCTCTCAGAAGGCCCCCGTAGATCATCCTTCCTCTCCCTCCGTCGTGACCAACCTGCCTCCACGGAACCATACCCCGCCTCCCCCACCAGCCGTTCTCCCCCCGCAAAATCCACATCACCCTTCTCTTCCCATGCTCTCCAGGACTACCCCACCCCCGTGACATCCCGCGTGCCCGATCCTCCGCGCACGCCGCACACATGGCCGCCGCTCGTCCAAGACAGCCAGCCTGCGCCACGAACTGAGCTTCCCAACACCCAAGTCCTCCAGCCGCCCGTGGGACACAGAGCGAGACTGGAACCAGCCTGACCGGGACCAGGACCGAGGCTGGGACGACAGAGCCGACGACGACGATGACGACGAGCTGCCTGAACACGTCCAGAGCTTCCTCGAGTTCCCCTCCGCCGAGCCCCGCGCTCCCCACAGCCCGGACGAGAGCTCGAATAAGGTGCGCTCTCGCGCACGCTCCGGCCCTTCACGCACATCACCAGTCTCACCAGCTATGGCAGCAGCTCGTACCCCGTCCGCGACTCCAACCCGTCCTCCCTCTCCCACTTCGAGGACCTAACACCGTCAACGCCAGTCGACGACTAGCTCTTCTTCCACGACCCCGCGTTCGGGCTGGTTGTCGTGGCCGCACTCGTCGCGGCAGTGGAAACGATGGACACCCTCGTTGATGGGATGAACGGCTTCGGCGGATATGCAGACTCTGAAGGTCGGCTTCCTCCCGATCTACCAGCCCCCGCTGCCCAAGCCTCCGCCTGGCGTCAAGCTCGGTGGGGCTCTCCCCCCGCAAAAAAAAACGCGGGAGCGAGAGCGAGAGTGGGAACGCGACAGCAACTCGGACGCGGATGAGGACTCGCACCCGCTCTCCACATCCGCGCTCGCGAAAGGCCAACGGACGCGTCGCATCCCCGTCCACGAGCCCCGGGCCTGCGGCGACCGAGTTCCCCAGGTACCCATGGCCCACCGATCCCCCGACGGCGCCCAAGACGGTGGCACCCTCGATATCCGAAATTATCCGCGCCCATGCCCCTGTCGAGCAGCAGACGCGGTCCCGCAAAACGTCGTATGCGACCAGCTATGGGCACGACTCTGCACCCAGCAGCTCTCGCACGCGCCTGAAGTCGCCTACACCCGAGCCCGAACCCGCACCGTCACCAGAGACTGAGGATGAGGTGGACATGGTTTCGCGTTCCTCCGTCGACACGCTCGCAGAGGAGATCCAACGGAGCATGCAGGCGCAGAAGCAGGCTGCACAAGGCCCGCTCTCACCAGCCGATGGGTGCGCATTCCGCTGCGGAGCACGAGTCCACGACGCACGGGGGTTCGGATCTCCGCGTCCGACCACAGACGCGAGGCGGGAGAGCTCGATCTACTCGAAATCGACGACGATCTCGGACCAGCCCCCATTGCCGCCGTTCAGTCAACTTCCCGTAGCAGACGATCGCGCAGTACCTCCGCTCTACCCACCTCACGAGCCTGCTCAGGGTCACGCGCTCGCCGCACGCCTTGCGAGTCGCGAGGGAGCCCGCTCACGGTGAGCCTCTCCGACCTTGGAAGCGAGACCGGCTTCCCCGACCTGGTCTTGCTCGGGCTTGGGTGTGTACGATACATCAGCCTCCCACCTACAAGCTTAAGCTTGTCGTAATCATGGTTGTGTCTGCAAATGCACTCATGACTCCATATGCACAGCTCCCCCCGGCATACTACTTGGGCCCCTCACGTAGAAACTAGTTAGTCGTTCCATTACGACCAATTCCACGCTGTTAGTGCGAATCCGCATGTTGGGGTTTTCCTGATGCGCCTGCCACGGCCGACCCTGAGAACCAGTAGATCCAGAGACCCGTACGTGTGCCCACCCCGTGCATACAAGCCCAACGTGCATTAAATATATGTACGGCTACATCAGAGGACGGCTTATGACGCTACCACAGCAGCCCCATGTCGAGCTGCACGTCAAACTGGGGACCCGGGAAGTTGCACGAGCTGACTTGTTGCGGTGTCCTCGAGTCCCCCAGGGTGTGGACGTGCCCTTTGCATGAGGGGGATAGGCCATTAATCACGCTGTGGCTAGGCAGGATACGGCATACATCCTCCAACCATCACATTCGCGGATAGGCCGTTTGTGAGGGTTCGTAATTGAAAATCTATCAAACCTGGGACAGCACGAGGTTAGATCATCTGAGCGGAATCTATTCACAAATTTGCAAAGCCCTTCAAACCCATTGGTACAGACGTGTGATAGGTTGGATAGGCGATGTATAGCCTGGATAGTTGTTCTGCAGGGGGTGGATAGGCGCATGTGAAAGATAGGCGACCACACAGTGACAGTTCAGGAAGCCACACACTGCACGGCGTGGCCTCTAGTGCGAACGACGCCGGGAGCGGGCCGCGTCGAACGCCTTCGTGGCGCCCCGAGTGCTCCCCCTTTGCCCCAACTTTACCCCCTCACGTAACTGCACTTCTCCGAGTAGATTTCTATAGGAAAGCAAGTCAACCACTGGATAAAACTATAACTCACGCCATTTCCTCACCGTCAAGATCGGACATGCAAAAACCCTCGTTCTGCACGAACCGCAGCACCCGCTCCCCGTCCTCGCGCCAGAGCTCGACCAGGGACGCCGACGCGTCGCCGCCGCCGTCTTCGCCGCGCTCGACGCGCCACCACTGCGTGGACCGCAAGCCCCCCAACTTGCGCCACTCGTCCGACACGCCCATGACGCGCAGTGTGGGATCGCCGCGGCGAGCTTCCCGGGGAACACGGCGAGCGCGCGTTCCCGTGGGTGCTCCGACGCGTCCCCAGGCCGCCGATAGAACAGGTCTGGGTCCATCTCGAGCTCGAGATGGACGCAGACGAGCGGTAGTCGGGCGAGCTTGGCCTCGAGCGCGTCCTGGCGGGTGGAGAATCGGGTGAGCATGCGGCGCGCTCGAAGCAGACGGCGCGCGACGTACCGGGGGTGTCCACATCTGCGACCACCCCCCGTCCTCGGTACCGCCGCCGCCGAACGATTCTACGACGAGCACGAGCGCGCGCAGGTGCGGCGCGACCGCGGCGACCTCTTGCCAGAGAGTTCCCGCGGGGCCAGACGGCTCGGCTTGAGCACGTCGAGAACGCGCGTGAGTCGGGACGTGGCTTCGCCCTTCCTGAGCGAAATACCGTCTTCCGTGAAATTCCATAGCATGGCGAATCAAACGTGTGCCGCGCGCAAGGCTCGTTGTTCCAGCAACGAGACTATGATGTCTCTGTCCTGCATGCGCAGAACCGTGAGATAGAGTCGAGGGATTGGCGAGGGGCGCCATCTCTGTAGGGATCGGCGAGGGTCCCTTTTGCCAGTGTAGTCGACACCAAGGTCCAGGGAACTGAGGTTGGGACAGAGGTAAATGAGATCTGTCGCAGGTTCGGTGACCCTGTCGAGGGTGAGCTGCTGGATGGAGGCGAATGGCGGGTGGCTAGTGATGTCGACCGCCCTGGTAAGCTTGAGGTCCTCTATAATGAGAGTATACAAGCGAGGGAAGGATCTGATGACGGATATGAGGGAGGGGAGGTCGACGGGAGCGCCTTTATGGCCTAGACTGAGGCTTGTGAGATTGGGAGAGGGGATGCTTTGGATCGTCGGCAGCATTTTGTCATCGACACAATGGCAAGAGAGCTTCCGGAGCTCGCCCAGCCTTGAGAGAGCTCTAGAAAAACGCGGGTCGTCAGAGAGGAGGGATAGATAGGCTATCTTGAGGGAACGGATGTTTTTGGTTGCGAACGAGACATCGGAGACCTGAGGTGCGTTGTTGTGGACATAGATCACTATCTCACGAACATAATGAGCATTGGTGTAGATATTCTCATGAGACCGGGAGATGAAGAAAGCCCATGTTATCGGAACGGCTTTCCAGATCCCTGGAGAGGAAAGCGTGTGGAAGTGTTTGCAGGTGAGCGACAAGGCACAGAGGTCTCGCTGCTGGAGGTAGGAAAGGATGATGAGGAGAATATCGTCGTTGAGAATATCGATGGCTGAGAGTGCCATGACTTGGTCCTGCACAGGGATAGATGAGCACGTTGGCATAAGTAATGCCTGCCAGATCGCACTTACCTTGGAGTGTAGAAACGTGAGGTCGAACTCGGAATCCGGAGCCTTTACCTGCTGCTCAAGGAGAACCCTCGTTATCACATATGCACTTGAGCTGTTTCTGGATGGTGGATGCCTCGCGTGCGACACCTGGGCACGAATCCGAGCACACTGTGAACTGGAGGATGTGGAAAGAGTCATCGCGGTCCCCGGATCTGCCGCAGTCAGCCTGACCGCGCTCCGACCACGGGCCCGGTAACCGCGGAGGCCGGGGCTCCGAGTCCGATTCGGCCGGCGCCAGTCAGCCACCCATGCTCTCTTCCTCCGTCCTCCTCCTCGAATCCCCGGCTGCGCACCCGATCCCTCAGACCCTCGCACTTCCCCACGCGCGTCTCGATTTCAAGAACGTGCATTTCTGCCAAGCATCTCCGCAAGTCTCGCACGATCTTGGACGCCCAGAACCTTGCAACAGCTCGCCGATGCAAATTGACGAAGTGTGGTATGGGAGGACAGCGTTCGTCGTGGGCACTGTGTGACCTGGTGCGCTGAGAAATGGCGGTCTCATTTCATACTGAGTGAGTTATTTCCCTGGGATAACCCTGTTCCCTGGTCGCCCCCGCCGTATACCTGTGGTTTCCATTTGACCGTCCGTTTCCATTTCCATGAGCCTCAGGCCATCGTTGGCGTCAACTTTGCACTGCTCATATCGCCCAGGACCCGTGCGACATGGCGTTAAGTGGTTTCCCGGGTGGATCCGTAGATCAACATGGAGACGGCCTCTCCGCGGTGCACGCGATGCCAATACATGCGTCGCTGGACAGGTCAGGTGCGTCTTGGTCTGGGTTTGCTTTTGTGAGGAACAAATACTGATGGACCTATTCGTGCAGCATCTATGTGCCTCGAATTTGCATGCAAGTGCCAGCCATTGCCGCGCGGAATCGTCCCCGGCCGGTCTTCCGAAGCGGAACGCATCGACGCTATGTTTACCACACAACGCGGCACGTCAGCGGGAGGCGCAGGGTACTGCTGCATGCTGGGTCACTGTAAGGTGCACACCATCCGGTTAGTCCTGCTTCCCGTCTTCAGGCGCTCAATGGTTCTGCTTCTGGCCGGCTGCGATATGACGAGCGTCCTCTCGCGAGGCTCCCGGTCGGTGACTCGGCGAACGCTGTCTTTCAGAGTTTGTACCGCCCCGAAGAAGACCTCGGTCCTTCCAGTCTACGCCCCTTAAGCATCCCGATTCCCGAAGCTCCTGAATCGTATCAGTGCCTTCACGCCGCCGTTGCATCTCCGACAAAACCCGATTTCGGTGCGGCGAACTGTCAGGCGAGTCATAGTGCGCACAGCTGTATCCAGGGTTCTTGCGATGAGTGCGCAGTGCCACTTCACCAACAGGCGCCCCGTGGAGTCAAACCCGGACCTCAGGTGGACGCCTGGGCACACCTAATCGTCGTTCGTGAGTCTGAGGTCGATATAAGATCGTCGCCTCGCCCACCACTCGCCACAACTACGCATACCCCTTCAACCGCATCGGCACCTCTCCGCGCATCTTCCTCCTACTTCTGCGCCCACCATTCCGGTCCACCTCCCTCTCGCAACCACCGCCCAGACCCAGACCACCTCCGCAATGTCCGCAACCATCACCCAGACTTCCTTCCCATCCTCTCCGTCCCTCGCATCGCTCGCGAGCACCTCCACCGCCGTCTCCACCACCCCACTTCGCCCCGGCTCAAAACCGAAGGACTACGAGTCCGCGTTCGGCACCCTCCAATCGCAGTACGGCCTCGCGTCCCCGACGCCATCCCCTCCCGCACCGCACCGCTCAAACTCTCCCTCGTGGCTGAAGCGCGCGCTCGGTGCGCCGTCGCAGTCGAGCCCCGCGCGCAAGTCGAAGCCCGCGCCGCCACCGATGACGGAGGAGGAGCGGAGGAAGGACGTGGCGCGGCGGGCGCGCGAGGCCGAGTTCGCGAAGTTCACGGCCAAGTACGGATTCAGTGGCGGGGCGTGAGGTCGCGGTCGCGGTGCTCTCATTGGACATGTTTTGGTGTTACTTCACATGCTTCACCGTTACTCTACTCTCGTCACGGCACTTAACGACGCTCGCGCTCCTACTATGGTTTGTTGGACACCGTCGATCAAAATCCAGGGTGGCAGTTGGCGACATTGCGACAACTCTGTAATACTAGTGAATAGATGGCCAGCTTACAGCACGCCGCACGCTGCTGCGTTTTTAAGTACCGCCTCCTATCGTTGTCTTGGGACCAAAGCTTCGTCCCGCCCACCTTCCCCCCGAGATCCTCGCGAGACCATCCGGTATCCCCTCCATATCGCCCGTGAGCACCTCGGCCTGATTCGGCACCAACGTCCCATCCGCGAGCGATCCCCGCGCGAGAGCCCGCACGCGGGGCTCTGCCGTCTTCGGAGTGACGAACGAGCCCGCGGCGCGCGAGACGACAGTCCCCTCACGTCCGGTCTCCCGCATTCGCGCGGCGACAGCGGGGTTCCGAATGTCTTCGCGGCCCGCTCGGCGTGCTCCCCGCTTACCTCGGCACGTAACGGCACTTCTCCGAGTAGATGTCTACAGGAAAACAAGTCAGCCGCTGCATAAGATGAGAGCTCAAGTCATCTCCTCACCGTCAAGATCGGACATGCAAAACGCCTCGTTCTGCACGAGCCG